ATGTTTTTTTCAGTTCTTAGTATTTTTCCCACACGAAGCCAACCACCATTATCTTATTTCATCTATTCTCTGCTTGAATCTTTCAACTGTAAAGAACAAGTAGCCTAACCTATATAAGCTAAATTTTGCTTGTAATAAAAGTGAGAAAAGAATAATAGTATCTATCTCATAGAGTTTTGAGATTGAGATGATGCATGGACATGCCCTGCACACAAAGAACGTAACACATGGTAGCTATTGTATTATCACTCCTGCAGCCAACCACATCCTGCATTCTTTTAAGGACTTTGCTTTGCGCTTTTGGACAATGAAACCTAAATAGCTAAATTGTGAAAGATCAAAATGCTTTGACAAATGAAAACAACTAGTAAAAGCCAGGCATTCTGTCTGTCCGTACAAATCCTGATGGCATACTCTTGTCTACTTTATAACCGGGAGGGTTTTTCATATAATGAAAACAATTTCTCCTTTATTTGAAAATCTGTTTGTATGACCTATACTGAGGCCACTTGGAATGTTCTAAACATTTAAATTTATGAAATTGCTATATTATTAAATGTTGTACTCATTTTAATTCCTCATTAATTTACTCTGATATTTAATTAGGAAGTCTACCAAATTGACAATTGGATAAATTAGTCAAAGGACATTGTTAATTCAGCTTTCTGTGAACAAGGGTGTCATCTCAGTCAATTTTCAGAGACACTGTATTGTAAAGGCTCAAGGACACAAATGCAGTTTGAGTTTTGGGGGTTTTACCCTAACAAGTGATATTCTCAGGCTCTTGGGGCTCTTTTGTCTTTCTGTTCTCCAGAATGAGTAAATTCTGTTGATCTCTCTTCAACATCACTGACTTGTGTCATCTTCAAATGAGCTATTTAGCAAATTTTAATAATTTCACCCTTTTTTCAGTTCTGAAATTTCAATTTGGTTCTTTACAAAAAACAAACAAAAAACCAAACAAAAAACTCCCCACAAATAAAACTACCCTCTTGAGAACTTCTTTTCATTTTGAGAGTGTCTTCCTTTATCTCATGACAGCTGCCTTAAAGTCTCTCTGATAATTCTAACATCTGGATCTCAGCGTTGACATTTGTTGTCTTTTTTCCTGAAAATCGACCACATTTTTCTGGTTCCTTCTATGCTGAGTAACTTTAGGTTGTACGCTGGACATTTTGAATAGTACACTTAGATTGACGGTCCTGTGAAAATATTCTATACAGTGTTGATTTTTGTTTAACCTGCGACCCACGTCGGTTCAGACTGCAAGTTCTGGTCCATGCTGTGCGGGCTATGGTCCCAGCGTCAGTTCCGTTTACAGGGCTCTGTTATGCTGTGTTGGATCACCTCACACATGCACTACTCAGTGGTTTGTATCATGTTCAGTGCTTTATAGTTCAGTTCTGAGTCTCTGCTGTGCTGCTTTGGGTCTGTTCTGAGTATGGGCAGCTCAGGAGGCTTGGAGCTTGTGCTAATTACAACAAAATGAGAGGACCCCCTTCTCCAGCTCTCTTCTCTCTTGGTGCCCCCCTTGCCCTGTCCTGTGACCAGATACATGGGGTTTCTCTTGGAATCTAAGCTCCACTACTACTGTGCAGTTTCCACAACTCAGGCCACCCTCAGGACAGAGTAAATAGAGAAAAATGGGGATTATCCTCACTCTTTAGACCGCAAGGGCACTTTTCCGATTTTCTTTCCAGAAAGAGGGTTCCGATCAATTTTAACTGCTGCCATACTTGCTACCACTCTTAGCTGGGAGCTTATCGGTGACACACCATGAAAGAGAGAAAATAAAAACCCTCAACACGCTCTAGTTCCAGGAGCTCTTTTTCCTGGTCTTTTGGATTTTTTATTTCATAGGATTTTCCTCACTTTCCTCTGGTTTAACCTGTCAGAAGAGCCACCCTGACAGCTCTGTTGGTGCCTTCTCCTGGCTCAGGGCCAAAAGAGAAGGGGGGGGGTATGGGAAACTCCCCCCTGGATGAGACTCTTTTCCAGGTTTGATTCTTCTCCCCAATATGTTTATTTTTGTTTATTTTTCAGTGTCCTCAGGCACTTACCTTTTGCATTTTATTCAAAATTTTTAGTTGTTAAGTGGGAGAGAAAGGCTTTTCAGGGCTTACCCTATTTGACTATGTCTGAAGTCCAAAGCTGCATTATTTTTAAGAGAACCAAAGTGGAAACAAGCCAACTGTCCTTCAACATTAGCACAGACAAATTGGGATGTATTTCTATGATGGCATATAATGTGGCAGTTAGAATGAACAAACTACAGCAACGTAAGTGAGTCTCACATTACTTTTGTTGTTTGGTGACTGAGTCTGAGTGAAACCCAATTTTTAGCCTTTAACCAAAATAAGATATGTGGAAAAAAATTACAAAGAGTATGGTTCCATTTATGTAAAGTTCAAAAATAGGCAAAACTCAATTATAATGTTAGAAGTCAGGATAGCTGTTATCTTTGAAGAAGAAAGAAGTGATTAGCAGATGGCATTAGGAGAGCTTTTGGGTGCTGTGAACAGTCTGTTTCTTGCCTACATGGTGGTTACACATGTAATCACAGTAATTCATTGAGCTGAACATTCGTTTTCTACACTTTTCTGCACATATTAAACTGCTAAAAAATTTTTTTTGGAAAAATTAACCCTTCCTTCTGGGGGGCAAATGACAGAATCTTAGCTTAAACTGACCTGCGCACTTAGGGGCATTGATAAGGATAGTGAGGTGTTACATGGAACTCAAGAACTAGGATGATGCTGGGCCTCTGAACAACTGAGCCAAAGGCTCCAATACTAATCAGAAACTTCGGTCTCGCTACAAAAGCATCCTCCAGGAAATAAGACCACTGACAAGAAAACAATCACTTTATATAATATACACTGAGACAATTGTGGTGTGGACCTATCGTTGTTTGCCCCAAACTAGGCCCACCTACTAGGGGATGGCACCATTTTCAGGGGAAATGGTCTTTCCCTCAATCCCTCCATGATTTCCATAGGAGCTACATGGGTTTTACTTAACCCCAGTCACGTGGGCACAGCCAGTCCAGTAATGGGCACCTCACCTGTGCTGGGGAATCCTATTCCTAGAACTTTAGTTCTTGAGACCAGAGTTCTATTTTTGAACAGTCACTCTTGGGGTGGGGTGCAGAAATCTGTATTTTAACAGCCTGTAAGGTGATTCTAAAGTTTGAGCGCTCTAGACATCTCGATTCTTTATTTGGCTATTTCTTCAAAAGTATTTTGTTTTAAAACTATAATTGTACTCAACCAATACTGTCAATTCACAGATTGGGAGGCTGTGTGTGTGGAAGTTCCAGTGTTAATAAAAGATACTGTATTGAAGAACTATGATAATATATAGGTTTGGTCAAGTTTTGGAATTCGTATTTGTACACTCTTCCTGGAACTTTGTTTTTTCCAGCAGCAGAATCCATCTAAATGGTGGCAGTTGTCAGGGACATCAGCGTTGTTACACTATCAACCTTGACTGACTAGGATTCCCAATTTCACAGAAAAAGAAAAAGCAATATTGTCAAATTTACATGGTTGATTACCTATGTATCAAGTGCTTTTTCTTCATTATAATTTACTATATTTTTCCTAAGAGAAACCAATTAATGTCATAGATACAAAACAATATATATTTATGTTTAAATCAAGGAATATCTGTAATCGGGAATTGAGACATATGTGTCGAGCTTTCAATAGCAGTTAATGTACACCTCTCTATTCCAAAGCAAACTCAGGTCAGCATTGTAAGTGAAAACTATTTTCTCACTGTTAAACAGAGGGCTTTTTACCCTTCCATTTAGTATTTTATAACCATGTTAGGTCAGCACTTAAATATTTCTGGATTGCAGAATCCCCACGTGAAATGTGGGCTCATTTTCATATTTCTTTTTTTTTTGTTTTTGTTTTTGTTTTTGTTTTTTAAGCTGAGCCATCCTGCTACCTGTTGGCAGCTCAGCGGCTGCTCAGCTCGGGCTGGACTCGAACCGCTATTGCTCAGAGCTCAAACTCTTCAGCGAGCTCTTAACCAACTGAGCCACTCGGCCGGCCCCATTTTCATATTTCTTAATATTTGCAGGTTTTTTGTTAAAGCAATGAATCTAAATTACTTTCAAAATCTGAAGAAATAAAACTTTATTTTTTGTTTTCTTTTCAAAAACATTAAGGTTGCCCAGGGTACATAAAGAACTGGTTTCATTTTGGCATCACTTAAGAGTTTAACCAGGTTGTCAAGTCCATGAGTGAAATCTGTTCCATTTTTAGACTAGTAACCAGAGGGCCATTTCATTCAGTCTACTCAGACTTATATTTAGGGCCATTCAAAATAAAAAATACATTAGGGGTTGCTAATTTTGGCTTCGTGCTCATGTGAACAGCTTGTTCACTACCTCCCTCCAAGTTGGTTTCTCCAGCATTTATTCTGCTTTTTTAACTCAAAGCTTAACTTTGATAAAGCAAATACTTCACCAGAATCTCCATACTGGGTTTTCCTGTTGTGCTGGATATATACATAGTTTAAATAAACTTCTCATTTGTTGATTTACAAGTATACTAACATTTAATTTTAAACGGTTTTTATAAGTTTTTGGGTTGGCTTGGGAGAAAACTTCAAACACAAAGGGTCATTTCTCTATGCCTCATTAGTGAGGCTAAAATCTTCCAAAAGGAATGTGGGGGAACTAATTAAACATGTACAATTCTTGATTTTTCCCATTTATCCACGAGAGAAAAGATGTATATGATCAATTAAATATTCATATTTGCTTGGAAAATGTATTCCTTTTCCCTCTTGGAAACTCTTATAAAATGGCACTTTGCGTGTTTCATATATGCTGGCTTTTTCTAACTAGATAGGAATTCACAGCAGGTGAAAAGTTCTGGTTACCAATTTTGAATACAAACTATAAATTTACTCCAGATAATCAGCATATGAAGTAACTAGGACAGGGAAACTATAACATGACACATTCCAACCTCATGAAGATCAAATCTGGTTTAAAAAAAATCAACTGAGAAATTTATTAAAACCAATTGTAGACAACTGGCGGTGGGGGTGGGGTGGGGAGGCGGGGAGTGGGAGCGGGAGGATCTCACCATATCCAGAAATTAATAAAACACTTGAAAAAACATATAAATTTAATAATAAACATTATGGTCAGGCTGTTTATTAAGGAGGCAACCACACGTACAAGTTCGGCTATAGAAATGTTTGCAAATCAAACTTCATGTGATCTAAAAGGACCATGCGTAATGTCAAAAATTGATGTCTGTACATTCAATAAGAAGTTAATTTAAACATACATAGTCTAGGTCATTCTAGTTATACAAACATCTGGGGACACATATGTATCTAATTTCCTTTCAAAAAAACTTTTTTATAAAAGTGATGTATTGAGATAATAATTTTAAAAAGTATCTGACAATTATGAATGGTCCCCAGTTTTACAAAATGTGATTTTCAGGGTATGAAAACTGAAAAAAGTCAACTCTTTAGAGAGTGTTTTATATTACAAACAAGTTTTGTAGAAAAATGATCCAGCAAATGCTTGAGTTAAGAATATTTATATTTTTTCCAATTCTTTACACTTTTATTAACACACAAAAAAATAACATTCAAACACTGAGAAAATTAAATAACTTTGGAAGCAGAGCTCATCTTTTTCTGCTTACATATAAGTGACAATTCTGGGCTGTTGGCACAAAAAAATAATCAACATTCATAAAACCCCTACTACTATATATCAAACATAAGTTAAAATCATAGGCACTAGATTATCAAACCCACATTTCTCCTGTTAGACTAACCACAGTGAATCCTCAGATATTCCCAAACAGAAAAATTGGCAACACACAAAGGCTTTCTAGTAAAAAGGCAATTTTTCTCTTTAGGAAACTAAAAGCCAATAGTCTGTGGTAGTAAACAGCAGGTAAAATAATACTTTACCCAACTCAGATCCAAATACATTTTTAACAAGTGATGAATATTTTAATAAAAAAAATAGACATTTTTTTTTCTGATGCAGCCATTTAAAAACAAAGTTAAATAACCTGAATACTCCTTTTGAAACTGATAATCTAACTTAAAAATGTAATGGGTGTTTCATAATAGAGTTAAATTTCCTCTTAATTAGATTGCAGCATATATATATATATATATATATATAGTTTTTGCAGTGTTGCACTGAAAACTGAGACCTATTTTGTTTTGCGTACATGTGGTTTTAAAAAGAGACAGTGGCTAGTTCTTTCTTGTACTTAGATTTTTACATGGGATACCCCCACACCCAAAGCAAATGCTTTCTCTTCTTCTGAAAAGCAAACATTTTTTTCATCATGTGGAATTCTGGTGCCATCCTTTCCTGACCCACCCCCATTGCCCTCAAATTCAAGGATAAAATTTCGTCCTTGCATTATACACCCAAATCCAGTAGCACTGGCAGTTTAAATGTCCAGCTGCTTGTGCTAACTGAACGACTCCCTAACTGATAAAGACCACCATGGTGTCAGTTACGGCAGAACAGGGGTCTTGGTTTTAAAGGTTCTACCATTCCCTCAACATGTCAACCTCAATGCTACCCGAATATCAGGCTTCCCATTTCTCTCTCAATTTCTTTTGCCAACTTACAGAATGTCCTTGACTAACAGGAAATGAACTTATGTTCAAATCTCTAAAATCCTTTAGGTGACCTGACTGCCAATATTTTAGAGCTTTTCAAATTAAATATTTAAAAACAGGCCTCTCACCAAGAAAAATGAGAAGCCTGCTACAGAAGGATGCTTCAGTCTGGTAACAGTTTAATAAAACTGAAATAAGTGATTCCCAGGGTAGACATAAGGGCCATTAGAGAGCAAGTATTTAAAGATTAGTCACATGTAGTAGGTTCCATTTATTACCAAAAATGCAAAAAAGTGATGTAAGGCAGAATCTAAGTCAAAAGGGACAGTATTTTCCAAGGATGTTTATACAGTTACTCAGTTTAAAGTGGACCAACTTAGGCAGGATTCAGCGGGTTGGTTTCCAACCACATAATAGACCGTTTGTGTCATTTAACAGCAACAATACAACTGTCACTACCAGAGCTTTTGTAAGTTAAGTGCATAGGTTTCCCCCGCCTCACTGTATGGTTTTGTTCCAGGTTGTAAGCACTGAGGTGATGGTATTTATAGCAAGAATAAAGACACATATAACTTGCTCTTTCCCATTCATGGCAACCTGCCAATGAAAACAAGATCTCTTGGTTCTGTAACAGATAACAGCATGTGAAGAAGTTGGCTTCAATAGCAAAGGCTATCTTTCCTGAGCCAGGAGCTATAAAGTTAGGAAGATTGTACAACTGACATTAAGCCCTTTTGGCAATCAAAAACAAACACAGAAGTCCGATGTGTCAATGCAACATGACGGATGCACACAGTAACGCAATCTGGTAGTGGTGATATGTGAGCTATATCCAAAACTTAAGATGAAACAAAATGACAATTTTTCTAATGAGTCTGCAAAAATAATTTATAGAATTGTCCCAAATTTAGGTATCATGTTTTACATCTCTAGCCCAGGTTTCTTGCCACCCCATCCTCCTCCATCTCAGCCTGGTTTCTTGGAGTACCAGTGAAACACTAGTGAAACATTTTAGATAATTAGTCAGAATATTAGTTCTCATTAACACAAGTATTTATTGATACCATTTATACAGTAAATTAGACTGAATGTGAAGTTTTGGATAGCTTCAATTCACCATTTTCTTGTGCACAAAGGTACTCTCTCGTTTACAAATGGGCATTTTCTCTTTGGCATCCATTAGGTTTTTTTTGCCCAGATATTGGCCTCTGTCAAATATTAAAAAAATCAACTTAGTTTGTATTAAACAAAACTAAAAGAGATTCCATGGAGAGTGATTGTATGATTACCAAACACATCTGATGTTAAATGTCATTAAAGTGCTGCTTGGTCATCTCTGTCAGTTTGTGCTAATTAAGACAGAGAGGGCTGGGATTTTATAAATCCCAAGAGTCTTATCTGAACAGTCTGCATATAAAAGTTGTCTTTTAGCCTGGTGAAGGGGTATCCATGGAGCTGTGGACCTCTGCTTGCTTGTCTTTGCTGGTCAGTAACAGCCATCTTTCCAACTGTCATCTTTCATGCTACCATAGGTTTTAGGAGCTGGCAAAGATCTGAAATAAAGCAGTTTTATAAATTGATTTGCAAGGTTTTAATGAAACATTACCATACTATCTCCCACATATATTAATTACTTTGCAGGTAGCATTACAATCCAATGAAGGCTATTCCAGGGCCTACTGAGATCATAGCTCTAAACAGCTATTGGCACAACCATCCCACACTCAGTATTTCCACAACTTTCAAGGTTTACTGGGCATCAGACTTCACTCACCTCTTCTTGTTAACATAGCTTCTAGAGTAAAAGAAAGGAAAAGACTATCTCATCTTTTCCAACTGCATGGATTACCCATTTTATTCATTCATTCATTCATTCATTCGAGGGGAACAATACTGAATGTGGCATTAGAAGCTTAGTGTCGCCATCACTAGACAGGCAGAAGGCAATAGTGCTTAAAAGGACTTCGAAGTCAGACATACTTGGAACTGAAGGTCTTATTAGTTGTGTAGTCTTAGGCGAATTACTTAACCTCATCAAATTTCAATGTTCTTCTCTGGAAAAAAGGAGTACCAACAGTACCCACATGTTTAATGGCCTTGTAAAAAGTAATAAGGTACATATAAGGTATTTATGACAGTGCATAGTAAAAAGCTGATGCACACTACTACTGAAGTCAGAAATGTAATACGTTTATCTTAGTATAAAAAGCAATTCAGTCTAAATGCATGTGGGATGAAAGCATTTTTTAAATGCAAATAAAATTTAATTTTATTTGACACCTAAATTTACTGATGGTGGTAATCACATTCCTGAAAGGCAGATAAAGATTACAGGTGCATGGTTCCCAAACTGGCTGGGCTCAGAATCACCTTCAGATTAAACAAACAAAAAACAGCATACCCACAGATTTTGGGCTTCATACCAGGTCTACTCTTTAGGGGAAGAACTTAAGCCTCTATATATAAATTCCACAAGAGATTCTGAATTGTAACAAGGTTTGAAAAACCACCCTCTTGGATTATAGTCAGACTTGGCAGCTAGAAATTTTATTTTAAATCTCACTCTAGACTCTAATAATGAATATTATTATATTGAATATTATTGAATATTACTATATACAAAATGAGCAAACATCACAACCAAATTGAGTGGCTCTAATAATTTTTTCTAGGAGTTTTCTGAGATGCTTAATCATGTCAGGCATCTCAGGAAATACAATCTAAACCAAAGTGGTATAATATCCTAATGTCACAAGTGAGGTTTTCTTTAAAACAATAAAGAAAGGTTTTATTCAAATTGCTCAGACTCTAGTGGGAACCCACTGAGGACTCTCTATGTTCACCACCAATGCAAAGATGAGGGTACTTCCAGGCTACCCCCTTTCCTATGCTCAGAATGTGGGAACAGGGCCTGTGCCACTTACCTGCGGACAGGCTGTGCAAGTTTGCTGCGAGGCACTGGTATACCCCCAGCGGAAGGGGCGCTGGGTCTGGGCAAGCCACTTCTCATCACGGCTGTCCCTGCAGGTCTGGTTAGAGTGGTGCTGTTGATATTGCTGGGAGGATTTGCTGGGACTGTGTTCTGAACCAGGGGAGGCCCAGGTGACGAGGTGGTTTGTGTGAGTTGTGTTGTTTCCTGGCTACCAGGAGAACCAGAGCCATGGTTACTAAATGCTTTTACTGGTTGCCGGAGAGCCAAAGGAGATGGTGCTGCAGGGGAGCGGAATTTGCCTGGAGAAGGTACTGCAGGATGGCAAAGAAAAATCAGTCTTTTTAGTAGAAACCAACTGTAAGTGAAACCACTGCTTTATATTACACTTGATGGCTGGGCACCAGTATACCTGTATTCACGAAAAGCCACTCTATAGAAATGCAAGGAATGAGGAATATTTCTGGACTAATTAAAAAGAAAAGATAACCGGCAAGCCCTAAGTAACCAGGTTCTTACTCAGAGGACTGTAACCATCCTTGACAACAGTATTGTATCTAGGCCAGCTAGGAACCCATAATATCAGAAAAGGCACTAAACTAACCTCCTAGAGGTGAAAAAAATGTGGACTACCGAATGATTGACTAGAATTTGAAACACGCTTTCCCCTCGAAGAAACATTCATGTAAACATATATCAAGTATCTGGTGGGTGAACCTCCAAGTCCTCTATCACTTATAATGTACCTTAAAATTTAGAAACTAAAAATTATTTTTAAAAAATGAAAACAAAAGACCTAACTGCGTTTACTGTTGTGCTTCACCAAGTAGGGACGTTATCAATCCAGGGGCACATCTAGAGGGACGTGAAGTCACATGATAAAGATAATTTTTGTGAAATATCAATTCTACTAAGCAGTAAGTCAAAACACTTCCATATTAAAATACTGATACATGAAAAAATATAATGTAGAATTTGTACTAATTTTTAAGCCAAAATAAGTTCAAATAAATTTTATTATTGTGGTGGTCCCTTAGCAACATAAGTTCAGATCTCCCGGGGAATAGACACATTCATCTTTCCCTATTGATTCTGTTTGGATAAATGACCTCTGGAAGGGCATCGGTTTTAGTTTCTTCAAGTGCCCATGGATGGCTACACACTATGTAAATAAAAAATATTACCTTAACATGCTTTATCTTACAAAGAACTCTGGAGTGGGGTTCAGAGAGAATGAGGGAAGGGGAAGAAATGGATCAGAAAGAGGTAACCCTATTCTCTCTCAATCTCTGTTACTTTGGGGAGGATATGAGGGAACAGAAAGCTTGGGCCAGGGCTTGGGCCTAAGACAGTAGAATGGAATACTCTACACAACTTCATCCTTCTCACTTTTACTAATCCGTGTAAAGGATATAAATAACAGTGAGGTCTACTACAATAGTGGGTAGGAGAGAAAAGAATGGATGAGTCTGGTCATTTTTCATCTGGTGTCTGGGAGTAAGAAGAGAGGTTAAGCCTTAGCTTCAAAACTCCAAAATAGGGGAAATTCATCTCCTACCTTCAGTAAGGTACCTTCCCAGCTAATCTTCCCTGCCTTCTGTCTGATCAGAGTCCCAAATGTCAGCACCTCCGAACTTAAGATATACTAGGCCTCAAGTACTGGATGTGATCAAATTATCTCTGTTTGGCTCCAAAAACTCTAGAGCCATGACTCTCAAATTTGACTGTGTGAATTCCAAGGAGCTTTAAAAAAAAAAAAAGTACGCAAGCCCTAGCACCACCCCCAGAAAATCTAATCTAGAATAGAACTCAGGTATTTATTTTAAAACCACCATAGGAGCTTCCTGACACAATGGCAAACTGGGGAGGGGCTTAATCCCCTGCTGTAAACACCTATAAAACTGGACAAAATATATAAAACAGTTTTCAAATATTGGACGACAGGCAGTACAGGACTGTAATCCCTGAGAGAAGGGAAATACATGTGGTGTGCCCTGTGAGCAGCCTGGTTTTTTTGTTTTTGTTTGTTTGCAGGGGAGTCTGGAGACACTTTTTGGACTATAGAGCAAAGAGGAGAATCCGAGCAGGTCAAAGTTATCTTGTTGAGTTGAGGTGACAGAAATTGGAATTTGAGGGGCAGAGTGCTTTGGAGGCAGACGCTGCTCCAGCAGACCTCCCTAACTCAGCTTAGGGGCCCGCCTGAATCTCAGGCTGAAGAGTGAGATGTGCTTGTACTGAGTGAAGCTCCATGAGGCCGGGCAAAGAGGACCAGGCGCTGTAAACGGAACAATTTCCAAAGCTCAGAGAAGACTAGGAAACATCTGAGTTTCAACCAGTTAGAGAATCCTTGCCGAACATCCAGGGCAATCAGGAGACACTCCAAAGAAATAAGTCAGCCCTAGAATAAAGCTACTCTATATCCACTCTGACAAACGTTAAAAACAAGCCTCCAAAGCAGGGGTCAGCAAACTACCAGCCATGGGCAAGTGAACTGTTTTTGTAAGTGAAGCTGCATTAGAATATGACAACACCCATGTTTCTCTATGTTGTCTATGGCTGCTTGCTCGTCACAAGGGCACAACAGAGGTCATATTACTAACCACGTCACTCTGGTAAATTTTAATTAAAACAAAAATACAGAGACCATATTACGCACAGTCCTAAAATATTTACTATCTGGCCCTTTGAGAATATGTTTGCTGATCACTGCTATAGAGGATCAAACTGATCCACAACAAATCCAACAGTATCTAAAAGCAGGTAACAAAATCCAGCACAGAACAGCATAAAACTTCATAATGTCCATTACCCAATAAAAATTAAGACATATAATGAAATAGAAAAATGACACCCAAACGAGAATAAAAATTAGTCAACAGAAATAGACTAAGAAGTCACAGGGATGACTGAATTAGCAGTCAAGGCCTTTAAAAGAACCAGTACATATATGCTTAAGGATATAAAGAAAAATATAAACATAATGAGGTGAGAAACAAAAGATTTTTAAAAGAACTAGACAGAACCTTTAAAGATGAAAAACTTATATCCAAAATGCTGAGTTCAGTGAGTGGGAATAGTTTAGATGCTGCAGAGGAAGAGGCACCTAAAGATATAATATTTATCCAAACTGAGGCATACAGAGAATAAAAAGACTCAAAAATAAAAATGACAAAGCCTCAATAACTTATAGGTCAATTTTCATGTGGTCTAACAGATGGACGGAGGGTATAAGTGGGACAGAAAAAGATTTTAAAAAAGAAAAGAGGAAAATCTTCCAAATTTGATGAGAAGTATAAACTCACATATCTAAGTAGTTTAAAAAATACAGGGCAAAAAATCATGGAACACCATACCAAAAAACACCATATTTCTAAAAATGAATAATAATACATATAAAAATCTTAAAAGACCTTTAAAAAGACAGAGGGATGAAGATACAGTAGAGCCACAGCTGGAATAATGGCTCTCAAATCAATCGTGTCCTGGTTCCTGGCAACTGTACAGTCTCCTCCGGCAGAAAACCGAAGATGTCCACAGGGTCCACGTACCACCGATCTGCAAGTTTCATGGTCTTCACAGAAGATTTCTTTTACCTTACATAATCCATCTTCCCCTTTCTATAGGTGACTATAAAAGTGTTTTCTCCGTTCCATTCTCTATAATCCCACTTTTGTCTCACTTGCCAGACCAGTCTCTACCCAAGTTATTTCACCGTCTTCCTGGAGGCTCACTGGATAACCGAGGCTCTATGTCTCTAATTCCTCTAGTCACTGCCTAAGAGTGGGGATTGGACCTATTCCTTCCAGTACCAACTCCAGAAAAGCCATCTTCAGTTCTAGCTTTATCATAGTTGGGAGTCTTCTGACCATAATTGTTTTGGTGGGGACACAGGTTTAAGATAGTCAAGTTCAGAGGAGGTTGTTAAGTTCCAAAAAGTAATATGCAAAAGTCTGGGGAGTTGGGGATAGATGGAAATGAGGTCAGATTAAGAGATGCATTAAGACATTGTGAATGACAATCTGGTAGACTGAGGAGTCGTAGGCTTCCTTCTTACGGTGACTGATGTAAAGGGGATGGTGAAACTAGGCAGATTATTGATGAGATGAAGAGTGTTGCATTTCTACATGACAGCCTTAAAAATACTGAAATATATTTATAATGCTTTGACTATCCTATCCAAATCTTATCTTAAAAATAAGCTTTGTGAGAAGCATCTTTCCTTCTGGAAAAATTCCTGACTACCACTTTACTATTAATAGTTATGCCAGAGAAATGGTTGTCTCCTGAAATTTCTTAAAAATGTAAATCTCAGACATCCACTTAGGAAAATGAAATAGATGTATTTTTCCCTATTTTCCCCATTAAGAATAATTTAAAACATTGGGCATTACATATAAAACAGACATATGAAGACTCTGAAAGGTAGAGATGAGACTGCCTACAAACCTTGAATCCTGAGGGATGCCATGGTAATGTGTTCCCAGGTGTTTTTTCTGCCTCTTATATCCCAGATTGCAGCTGAAGAAGCTGGTAACGCAGAAAAGCCACTGGGTATGACAGACCGAAAAAGCCTGCTCTCTCTAGCCAAAAGGATTAGGAAAGAAAACTTTTACATACTAACTTTCTACTCCAGCAAACAACCCAGAAGAAACTGTGGCCCTACTCCCACCCCTGCCAGTAAAGGGCAGTGGGGAGCCTAGACTTCCATCTTTGTGAGGCTTAACAAGGCACTGCAACACCCGCTCCAGGGAGGAGTCAGGGAAGGCAGCAATGAGGTACTCTTCCCCCTCCCCTTGTGTCAGAGGAAGCCTAGTGGAGAGTCAGGATTTTCATGATTGCTTAGCGGTAACAGGGCCACCCCTACCGCAGTGTGAGTGGGGACAATGTGGGGAGCAAGAACTCCTACGTCCACCAAGCCAGCCCCTCCTCCTTGGGTACCAACAGAGACTGTGTAGAGAACCTGGGCTTCTACATCCAACTAGCAGTAATGAAATGTCCCTGTCCTCCACACACTAAATGGCTGCGTAGTAACAGAGAAAGACATAAAACAGAAGGCTTAAATAAGACCCAGAATCTCGTAACATAATACAAAATGTCCAGATTTCAATCACAAACAACTCATTATACCAAGAACCAGGAAGACCTTAAACTGAATTAAAAAAATAATAGATGTTAACACCAAGATGACAGAGATGTTAGAATTATCTGATAAATATTTTAATATCTGACAAAGATTTTAAAGTCATCATAAACACTTGAAACCTGCAAAAATAGCAAGTCTCAGCAAAAAAAATAGATGTAAAGAAGAAATCAA